CAGCCAGCCAGCCGAGAGCTTGCTCGGCGGGCGGCTGGCGGTCTCAAACACACGGTGAAGGCATCCAGCATCTGGGGCCCTGCTGCTTCTTTTGTATTTGCCTTTTCGTCCCCTGGAACAAATGAGAAAATATGTCCAGTGAAATCGATTCCCTGTAACACCAACAGGGGAAAACACAAAATAGTCCTAACCAAATGGAAGGTACCAAGGGGATTGCGGACAGGGGCAAAAGCAGTTGGGCCCCGGGTGCCGGAAAAAGTTCATTGTTGTTGATCAATCCTGATTGGGACATCACTAAGAGAAGGATATGGCTGTGGTTGTCAAAACCGTTTGGGATCCCATGTTGGTTGGTAGGCGAATTCACCACCCATTTTAGAACCTATTTTAGTGGGTGGATTGCATCGGATGTTCACTGGGGGCTAACCGATTTGGGTTTTGACCCATAGCCAAGTTTCGGAAAGGAACTCCGACCTCTTGGGGTCCCAAAGCAGAATTTCAACTGGGAACTGGCCTCAGGGAAATGGTCAACAGGGAAACGGACACCTGTTTGCCTGACCAAACGCGGAACCTGTTTCTCTGACCAAACGCGGCACCTGTTACGCGGAACCCCCCTCAACGGAAATGCTCTCAAAAGGGAAATCGCTCCCCCCCCCCTCCCAAAAAAAAACAACAACAAGACAACCATGTGCTCTGACCAAACCGCGGGAAACGGTCCGCAAAAAAAGCCCTGGCTGCACCTGCGATTTGCTGTTTCTCTCCGACGCCGCGGCGAGCGGCGCGGCCGATTCGAATTGCAGCTGGCACTCGATGAGATTGGAAGCAAACGAAGAACCGTCCATTTTGGAGTGGTTTGGAAGGGACACCAATGGAACAAACACGCTTTTTGAGGGGCCTTTGAGACAAGCCCATGGTGAATGAATAAGAAATCCCTCCAACAAGTTGAGAATTTCAAACCGAGAAAGCAACCCAAACGTCCATCGCAACACATCCGGACAGTTTTTTCACGGTCCTTCCGTCTGGAATTTTCTCCAACCCCTTGAGCCTGGGTTTGGGAACTATGCAGCACGAGCTTTGCTGGACGAAACGAGTTCTTCTTTCGGCGGCTCAACCGAAGGGCCATCCCAAATGACTTAACCCAAGCGCCAGAGCTCACCCCTCTCCTTGCCACATCCGAGCCGGACAAATTGCCATGTGCAAATTGCCCCCCTTTGGGAGATGTGGGTGACAACCCCTAAGGTACACAGAGAAAGCTAAGCAGTCCGCGCAGAAAGAGACCCGGGCACTTGGCTTCCCAACGGAAACCCCGGATACCCTGAGTTGCTTTTTTTTCTTGCATGCCCCTTTGGGAGGGGGATCAGACTCAAAAAAAAAACGGTTCTCTGGCTGGTGCATCTTTGACTGATGTATCTGAGTGGATTCTGCGGCGCAGACCTCCAAGAAGGAAAAGAGATCTCTGTGATTGCCCCGAACTCCAAAGGACATATGCACGGTGCTTGTTTCACTTGTGTGAGCCCTAAAATGTGTAAACTGAGGTCAGAAGAAGTCTAAAACAAAAAACAAAACTAAATGAACCTTGCAATGTTAAAGGATACTTGAAAAGGGGCCAAAAGGAGAATAGGATTCAACATGGGCCTTGTGCCTTCGACCCCTCCAAATATTTTCAGGGAAGGCACCTACGCTGTTGCAACTCACAGGGTGGATCTCAAAACAGCAAGCCCTTGGCTTTAAAATTGTGGGGGAATCACGGAGGCTCCGCATCTGTTAGGAGCCCATACTTCAGAGATACACCCATGTTCAGACCACCAACTCTTTTGCCCTGCCCGGGTGGCCCCTCTGCCTGACCTTTCTGCCTGCATCTGCGCGCGGAAAAGCCCACCGTCGCTCAGACCAAGCCATCGGTTCGGTCGCCTGGCGTGGATCCACGGAGTTCAAACCGCGTTGACGTAGTCGCAGGCTGGTTGATCGGTCTTGTGGACAATGAGCACGCACACAGCATGGCCCTATCGCACTGTGCGAAGAGGAGAGGACGGCAACACGCTGGAAACCAGCACCAACTCGTCGTGTCTGGGTGTCTAGCAACCCGAGATGAAAACATTAGTGCGCAAAGGGATTGTCACAGGGTGCGCAAAGCTCTCATCCAAGCTAGCGAACTCTAGCACAAGAGGCTACACACGACCAAAACGAAACAAGAACAACAAGAACGGCAAAACTAATAACAACCAAACACGCGTCTACGCGAAAGGGAACAAGAGAACAAGAAAAACGAGAAGACGAAGAAGAAACAAAACAAGAAGAAGAAGGAGGAGGAGCGTAAGAAGAAGCAGAAGAACGATAAAAACCAAGAGAAACAACGGCAACACGAAGAAAGAGAGCAAGACAAGTAAGAAGCGCGCACTAAGCAACAATTGCAACTCGATCAAACTCAATAAGAAGGGCAAACGTGTGAAAGCAAAGAAACAACAAGAGCAAACATGACAAACACTGACAACAATGACACAAGAACAGCACGCATAACAAGAAAAAAACACAAGGCACAACAAACACAAAGGAGCAAGAGGAAGAAAGAGGACACACCAATAACAACAAGACACGCGAGAACAAGAAAAGACTAAAAGAAACATAGGACTCATGAGAATGATAATAATACAAAAGGAACGCAATGAAAAGAAGAGCGATGACAAGCACAACAAACGAGAAGACGAGAACGAGAACGAGAACAAGAACAACATGAAGAGAAGACTCAAAGGATGAAGAAGAAGAACCCTGAGGCTCAACCCTCATTTAAAGGATAGTTGAGCCAATTTGGATGAACTCTTTAGGACAATAATGGTGGTTCTAAGTGGTTCTAGTAACCCAAGCATCGTTTTAACGGTGGCCGGCCACAGAATCAGGAGAAGAGACATCCTGCTTCCAGGCCTTGAAGAAGTCGTCTAGGCCTTGGAGGTCTCGACGGTCGTCTCCTACAAAGCCATCGCTGAAGAGTGAGCCATTCGCAGCGGTTGAGCCATAAACCAGAAGCCAGAAACCAGAAACGAAGTACAAAGGCAAACCAGAAACCATAATCCAAGCAGTTGAATTAAAATGGTCTACCCAGAAAACTAACGCAGTGAAAAGGCGGATATCCGCTTGTATGGCACAGGGGATTGCCCAGGTTTTAACTGTGACTCACTGCGCAGCAGTTGAATTGTCCCATTTCTCTGGGGTCTGGGAAGGATTTCGTCCCTCCACCAGACTCGCACTCTTCCCCCAAATTCACACGGAGCCCACAACAAAGGGGGCCCAGTTCCGCAAAAAAAAAGGGAGCTTCCCCCACAAACCGCTTTTCTTCGGTTCCAGGGAAAAATCTCCAGGGGGGCAAAACCCATCATGTTGACCCCGGATCAATATACCCCTGTTTACTAATATGGGGGTGTCCCTGGTTTTAGTGGGAATCATCACTTTTGGAGGGGAACACCCCCACTTTATTAATCCGGGGTCAACATTGCAGAAACCCAGCGCGCGCTTTCAAGGCCGCCTGAGGCACCTCCATCACCACCCGCAAGAACGTGGCCAGGCAGGCGGCTCCAAGCCTCCCGGGCTCCGGTTGATCCGTCCGCCGGTTGCGTCAGCCGGCCGGCCGGAGACGGCTATGGACGACATGGGGCGGTTCTCACCAAAAGCACGTACCATCCCAATCCAACCACTAAAATAGGTTCTAAAATGGGTGGTGAATTCACCTACCCCAAAATGGTACCATTGGATTTGACCCACAGCCATGTAGACAAAGCTATGTAGACAAAGCTGAGAGAAACACCCCATTTTGAGACCCTCCAAATGCTCTTCCAACACTAACACGTCCTGGTTGAGAGAAATCGCCGCATGAGAAAAGAAAACCCGAGTTGATACTTGAGCTAGACTTCGGAACGCAGGAAATGAGTTGTTTATTTTTGCGGTGGAGAAAAAACCCGCAGATGCTGTCCGCAGACTTCACGTGAAGCGAAAACCTGAATCGTTGAAGAGGCTGGCTGCCACAGAACCACAGCCCAGATTCACTCTGTTCCTGAACAACCTCCGTTTGGCTGTGCCCTTTCTTGAGACGTACCGCAATACCCCACCCCTCAAAAAAACGGTTTCGGTTCTCCTTGAGGTGCTTTAAAAGCCACCAAAAAGCTCTTTCATGAAGCCGTTAGAGGGATGGGCACTGAAGGGTCTGAGTGCAAAAGCCTGGGGGGGCGGTGCACGGTGGATCTGGGCCCGTACCCTCGTGCCAAAGGCCGTTGAGTACTCTCTGAAGAGATTCCCGGTATTACAGGACGAGCCGAAATGTTGCAGGTCTTGACTTGACGAAATGTTTTGACCATTCTCCATCCGGATGGATTTCCCTTGGGGCTTGAATTTACATGGACGCGAACGGACCCCACCCTGGCCCCCACCCCCTCAGCCCCTCAACATGCTCCTCCCTCCCCCTCCCCCCAAAACCAAACATCTCAAAACCAAATCACCTCCACAACCCAGCTCCAGAACCCAAACCCCCCTCCCCCCCCTAAACCTCCAACCCCCTTCCCCCTCCACCATACCCCCCCCCCAACCTCCAGCCCCCTCTCCCCCCCAACCCCCAACCGCCCAACCGCGACACGGCCCGGCCACAACGAGCTCACCAGCGCCGCGCTCAGCGAAGTGCCCAGCAGCGACAGCAGGTCCGCCGCCAGGAACGGTTGAAAGGCCACCGCCTCGAGAGAGCGGCCGAGCGAGCCCGGGCGGCGCTTCTCTCTGGTGCTGTTGGGCGCTGCCAAGAGTTGACTTTTCGCCTTTTTTGGGGCTTTGGGTGGAACACACCACTTGATTTCAACCCAAAAAAGTGAAACCTAGAAAGATCCAACCCAATAGCAGTCAAGTGGCAGATGCTGTGGTTGTCTGTTTGGTTGGAAAAACTCAACCGGGGGTTCTGCTGGAAGATGAGGTGGCCCCTTGGGTGCTGTTGGGCGTCCCTGCAAAAAGTGGTTCACTTACCCAGAACCATGTTTCAACATTTTAGAAGGTGGAATTCCGCGGCTATTTCTGGTTGGGATCGTCCCTTAACATTCATCTACCCGGGTTTTGATTGAGACTCAGGTGGCTTGGGTGCTGTTGACCCCCCCGCAAAAAGTGTTTCCACCTTTTTGGGGCGTTAGTGGAAAACACCACTTGAGTTCAACCAAAAAGTACCAAGAATCAGCTTCCCCCCAAGTGGTTTGGTGGTTTGGTGGTTTGGTGGTTTGGTGGTTTGGTGGTTTGGTGGTTTGGTGGCGAAGGGTTTGGTGGTGTCCGCCTTGCCCTCTACAAGAACCAGGATTTCAAATCCCACCAATCCACGGAAGCCGGTAAGGCATCCCCTTTCAGGAAACCAAGAACCCAAGTCGGGGAGTCTCGAAGAGAGATCAAAATTGTGAATCGAGGAAACAAACTCTATGATGGGTGTGGCAAGAAAGGAAAGACTGAAACGCTTGAGGCCAGAGGGTGCCTTGGAGTGGAGAGTCGGCGACCTGCGCTAGAAATAAAGTCTGTCAACTCGGAAGAGAACTCCAAAAAGCAGAACTCAGGGAGGGCTCACTGCCGCCGAACATCTTCACGGATAAAATGTTTGCAAAACACCAAAAGGGGAAAGGTGAAAACCTCCTGTGGGCCACCGCCCCTCCTGAGACCCCACCCCACCTCCAAAACAACTACCCCTCCTGGCCTTAAAAACATGAATGACAAAACAACAAGGACCAAAAAAGCAAAGCCGCCGCCCCCCTGACCCCCCCCCCTTTGATGGACACGTTGGGTCTATTTTGCAACCACCCCCTTTTGGGGTAGTTTGCTTTTTCTTCAGGCCCTTCAGCTGCCAAGTTGGAGTTCTGTCCACATCACCCCCCCCCCGGCCCCAACTCGAGCCCTTGAGTCTGGCCGCAGATCGACTCACCGCCACCACCACGCCCAGCGAGCTGGCGCGGGCGTTGGCCGGCGCGATGCGGACCTCGATCCGAAGACGGCGGCTCGTCTTGCTACGTGGGGGTGGGGTGGGGTGGGGTGGGGTGGGGTGGGGTGGGGTGGGGTGGGGTGGGGGGGTGGGGTGGGGTGGGGTGGGGTGGGGTGGGGTGGGGTGGGGTGGGGTGGGGTGGGGTGGGGTGGGGTGGGGTGGGGTGGGGTGGGGTGGGGTGGGGTGGGGTGGGGTGGGGTGGGGTGGGTGGGGTGGGTGGGGTGGCCTTAAGGGAAGGCCGAACAGAGAACCGCCAGTGAAAAGAAAGACGCACCCATGTACCCTCACCACCACTTCGCCACGGCACCTGGGGGTTGCTGGTGAAGGGGTGGTCTCCCAAACCAAGAACCAGGGCTTCAAATCCAAATCCAAGCCAGTCCAAACCACCAAGGAAGGGTCTACCAGCCCGGTTCACTAACATAGAACCTGACTGAAGGGTCCTTTCCTTGAAAAGGGACCCTCACTCCAATCATGGCAAGTGCACTGCTGTAAGCAAGTCTGCAGCTGTTGCACAAAGAGTGCGCCAAAAACACACCCCTTGTTTTGACAACTCGCGCTTCCTGTTGGGGAACCCCGAAGTGTCCGCTTCAATGGTCGTCTCAATCCCACATTGCCATGGCATTTGTGGGAGGGGGTCCCTTGAGGAAATTCATCTTCCAGGTCTCCCACAAATGCTATGGTAGACGAGGGTGCCTGGAAGATGAATTTCCTCTTCAAGGGCCTCCTGCCGATGTTATGCTAGTGGGAGAGGGAGGGCAAAAAGCAAAAGATCAAACTGCACATGAAATCCAAGAATTTGGTACCATGTGTCTCTTTGTTGAACTTGATTTCCCCAAAAGGAAAACTCCGGGGTTGAAGTCCACAATGGGGTAGTCAAAAAATGGAACCCTGCCTAAAACTTGCTGAGTATTATTTTGTTTAAATAGGAAATGGAACCCGGGGGTTCCGCACCTAAAGGACAACATTTGGGGATGGTGGGCAGCTGGCCCCAACCAGCACCCAAAAACGTATGCTGTTCATATGGGCTATAGTATGGTCTATATGGGCGTGATGATTTTTAGACCCCGCGAAAAGGTGGCGTTCCTTCTGGTTTTGCCGGGGTAATCCCCCCCCCCAAAAAAAAACGAAGACAGACCCACATACATATAAGCCCTTTGTGACCATCTTGGTAGAACCAAAAGTCAGTGGGTGAAAAGGGCGCTGCTCCCATGGTGAACGAGTAGAAATCGCTCACTTAATACATGGTTGCCGAAACTCGGACTTTAGGTCGTGACTATCTGTATCTTTCTGTGTATCTTTCTGTGATAAGGGAACCCCCTTAATCGCGATACCGTCAGCGGCATTGGCACATGATTGCCCTGCATTTTGTTGACGGACCCCCTCTAAAGGCGGGCAACCAATGGAAAAACCCAACCATTTTGCAGGGCCTAATCACCCTCTAATATTGACCTCAGATTAATAAACCCGTCCCATTATTTGGGGGGGTGTTCCCTCCAAAAGTGGTCTGCATCCCTATTGATCAACCAGGGGTTTATTAATCCGGGTTAAGATTAGTCAAAAAATGGAACCCTGAGTTTCGGGCTCGCGATGAGTCATCCGAAGGAGGCCATCCATCTAAGTCCTAAACCCATGAAGTGTTTAACGGTCCATCGCTTGCGCTTGGCTCCGAGATCCGTTTTTTTTCCCCCGAGATCCGTCCCTACCCACCCCCCACCCACCCCCTCACCACCCCTAACTAACCACCCCCTACCCCCTGCCTACCCCCTACCCACCGGCTGGGATTCCAAGGGGCCTCTCACCCCCCCCCCATTTTTGCCTGGGATTCATTGCAAGGGGCGGCGATGGCGTAGAAGGGCCCAAAGGTGCTGCCGAGGCCGAAGCCCCAGAGGCTCATCAGCAGCGCGAAGATCTTGGGCTCCACCCTGAAGGTCGGAACTGACCGAACCGGGGGGGGAGGGGGGGGGAGGGGAGAAGCTCCCACCCCTTAAGGGGAACACGGAAAAGGATTCGAAGTCGATGTTGGAGCCAGGAAAACATCGCAACAAATTGAGGGATTCAGGATTTGTGGGCGCCCCTGTTGAAATTGGGATGGGAGGACCACTTGGAAAGCTGAGCAGATGGAAGCGTCTTTGTCTGCGGCAAAGCTGCGGCTGAGACTGCCAAAGATAGGACATGCCCATCAGCGCTCCTGCGAGCGAATTTGGTTTGTGCCCCTCCCCAAGCTTTCCGCCGAGAGCCACGAATAAGCGGAGGAAGACAAAAAAGAAAGGGGGGGGGAAAAAACAAAAAAAGGTGGACGGGAAGGGGGGAGAACCAAAAACGGGCCCTTGGCCTTGGCGGTGGCGGATTTCTGTCCGCTGAGTTGGGGGTTCCTTCAGCCGGTCCCAGGTGCCTTGCGAGTTGGCTTTGGGCCCTCAGCCATAAAGGCATTGCAAAAAAAAAGTACTCGGCATGGCAAAAGACAAAAGAAGAGCCTTCTTGCTTCTGAGCCTTCCAAACCATGCCCTTCAAGAACCCATTTGAAATGGATCAAAAGGTGCTTTACATGGGATGACGATCGGGGAAAACTAGCAAGGCTCGGCAAGCGGCGAAACTGGTCGGCCGCGGGTTCCCCCTTGGGTTTCGAACATCGCGGGTTCCCAGGTGACACCTCAGAAGTGGAATGACTCCAATAAACCGTCCAGCCTACGGTTTCCTCCTTTCGGGAATCCCCCAACATGTTCATTCCCCAACGGCCGGAACTCGGAAGGTCATTCCCCACCTATCGTCCCAGCAAGCTTGTTGGGGCTGGTTTGTATCCTTGTGGTTCTGGCTGTGTAAGGTAAACGGATATTGGAAGGTAAATGGGAAGCCAGTTCATGGGAAGCCACCCCACCCCCCGAACCCACCCCCACAACCACCCCCCCGAACCCACCAACCCAACCCACCCGTTGATTTTCTTCTATCCACTTCTCCTGCGCAGAGGAAGCACCCGGGGATCAGCACGTCCCAGGCGGGCACCCGCCGCAGGAACACGAAGCCCAGGCAGCAGCTGATCACCGTGGACACCAAACCACCCCTCGCGGGTCGCGGTCGCGGGTCCGCGGTCGCGCGGTCCGCGCGCGCGCGAAGTAGACGCAGGTCCCGCGCCCCCGCGTGCTTTTCTTCGCTGGGGCGCTAGAATTGGCTCGTCTTTTTGGAGTTGCCCCCCCCCCCCCCCCGTTTTTGTTGGTAGACCACAAGGAAAAGCAAAGCGAGTCTGGGGAACGCCTACAAGGTATGTGCCATTTTTGAAGGCCCCCAAAATTGCATTGGTTTTCCTTTTGGTTTCCCAACTGGACCATGGGCAAAATCAAGGGCGTCTTGCCGCACCCCATTCAGTCACCCCTTCCACTTTGATGGACATTCAAGCCATCTCCAGGGATATATACTACTGCATATCTGCAAATCTGATCTTGAGAAATGTCCTCCCGGCCCCGAACTATTTCACTGTTGTTTCCCTTAACACCTTACCCTCACTTCCTGCTTGGATTGGCCAAACAGAATCCGCACTTTTTGTTTACCACTAACATGGTCCAAACCCAACAAGTGGCTAAAGTTTCGAAACTCAAGACGTAAGCTACCAAACTCTTCGATCCCAGCCCCCAGCAAACGGGCTCCGTGGCGGTTTTCCCCCGTGCCAGGGCGCAAGACGCAGTAGGAGAAGGACTCTTCGACGTCCAAGTGAGACTCAGTGGAGTGAGCTGCCCCGAAACGACTCCCTTTGAGACACAGAAGGCAATGGCTGGCTCGGAAGTCCTGTTTTGGAATTTGGAGTGGGAACAAATTTGTGTGTGGGCTTTAAGGGAAACCAGGAACACCGAAGCGAATTTGGGGGGCCCAGCCTGAAAAAAGACACACCCAAAGTTTGGAGCAGGGTCAAGGGAACCGATTCGTCAGTGGAGACGCGACAGTATGGTCCCATCTTGGCCGGAGCGAAAATGCGGCGAGAGTGTTGGCGATATGGCTGCGGGTCAAAACCCTGGAAACCCCTGGTGAACATCAAAATAGGTGGCAAATGGATGTTCATCCACCCCCAAAATGGCTCGCCATAGGTTTTGCCCCATGGCCATACTGGTATGGGTGCGGGGCTTCTCCGCCCTCGTTTTGTTTTGCCAGGCAGCCGCAATCTCCGGCACCAGAGGCATCAGCAGTGACCCGAAGTCCATGAGCATAATGAGGCACGCCAGGCCGATCCTGAGAAGGGCGAGAGGCCGCTCCCCATGGGAGTACTCTTCTAGGGGTTGATTCCAACCATTCTTTCCAACCATCGTTCTTTTCCAAAACCGGATCCTTTTTGCTGGGTTTCCGGAGGTTTTCTAGAAAGAAGGATCCCTGGAAAGAATGGGGAAGCTACCCCTAGAACTCTCCTGTCTAGAAGGGCTTCGTGTTCCAAATGTGTGAAAAATCCTGAGCACACATGTTGCATGAGACCCTTTGAAGAGAAACCCGAACTTGAGGATCAAGTAAACAACAAGGCCCTGCAAAGGGATGTCAAAAGGATGCCAAAAGGAGAGTCCTCTAAGTGACCCTTTGGTGAGCCTTTGGTGGACATCATTTAGTTGGGGGATGCATGTCCAACCACCTTTGAAGTGGTTCAAACCCTTAAAAATCATAGTTGTGCAGCTGGAGGGATATGCTCAAATCAATCTTGGCGCCGGCGATGTGCACTCCTGCTACGGGCGTGCAGAAGGGAAAAAGGAGGAGGTTCTCCTGCTTCATTTTGTCCCCCTGTCCAAGCTGACGACCTATCAATTGCAAGCTCTGGAAAAAAGAAAAAGAACACTTTGGCTTTGGTTTCCAACGAATGCTTACGTTGCGCTGATCACTTCAAGTACCCCAGCTGTGTGTAGAAGGAAAGAGGTCTCCTTGCTTTTGAGCAGACTCCCTCGTTAGTCGTCAGCTTTTGGTAAGCCTGTTGGAGACATCCAAGCGGATTTGGGTCCAAATGGGTATAGGTCAAAATTAAACCAACAGGGGGACCGCAGGTCTTAGTCCTTGTTTCTATTTACCAGGGTTCCAGTTTGGGGGTTGCCCTATTTTTACAACCACACCCAAATCCCATTTTCGAGAACGCCCAACATTGGAGGCTTCTTGGCTCTAGGGACCCCATCCGAAAGAAAAAACCATGATGGCCCGGGCCCGAGCCCCGTCTTTTGTGAATGGTGGAAACACGGCTTCCCATGGGTGTGGGTGTCAAAAATCGGGGAACCCCAGAATGGCACAAGCCCCGGGTAAATGGCAACAAGTTGACGAACATTTGTGTGGTCCATATTTGGGTGGTCGAATTTTGACCGGCCATGGGTCAAAATCCAGATCGTACTCCCAGTGAACATCCCAATCCCCGCCAATTTAGACTAAAATGGGTGGTGCACCTACCCCAAAATCGTACCATTATTTTGACCAACAGGCCACAGCCAAATGGAGTCAGCGGTCTTCCCATTCCTGGCTTCCCATGGATGACACTACCAAGGCGCACTTTCTCCAAGTGGTTCTCCTGCAAGGCAGCTAAAGCTTGCACTTCAAAAGGACGTTGGCACCAAAAAAAGCCGCTCGCACAGCTCCCAACGGCCCCAGGCGGCTGGCTCCTAAACGATGAGTTACTTGATCTGATGCAATTGAGGACATGGATTAGCCCAATCCCCATGTTCTCTTGCTAAGTGCAATAAATAACTAATGTGTCTACTCAAACCAAGATCTGCCAGCAAGGAATCCCTGGAAGACCTCAACCTGCAATTTGGAACAATTGCTTACGCCCATGCATTGGCATTCTGACGCAACGTTGGCACATATGGCAGTCTGTCAGATCTCTAAGGGCCCCACACTTTACAGTTCGTTGATTCCCTTCCAAGAGGTTGGCCACCGAGCCCCTTCTATGGTCAAAAGACACACCTAGCCCCAAAAGCTTGCGGCTCAACCGAGCTTTTCCTACTCCTTTTTACCCATCCCTCATTCTGTTCTGGGAGCTTTGGCTTCAGAAAATGGGCCAAGCCGCTGGAAAATCGAGGGGCTTCTGAAGAGAACGAAGGGCAAAAAAGCACGGACATGGAATCAGCTTTTAGACTATGGGATTGTCGTTCCTGGTTCCCCTTCCAAACAAAAGATGCAACCCCCCCCAAGAACAAGCTCACCCAATTCCCCCAATAGAACAAAAAAACCCTTACTTCTTTGGGTTTCCCAAAAGGGTTCCATATTTCGCCCAATCCTGGCTCACCCCCAGCCCCTGGCTCAACGCCGCCCACATCCACCAACCCACGGTGGAAAACATCGGATCCGACGGCATCGGGCCGGCATCCGCCTGCATGGTGGCCCAGATCCCAGAGCTGAGGCAGTCCCGGAAGTCCATACCCTGGAGGCATCGAGGCATCGATTTCCAGCTGCTGAAGGGTGGGGGAGGGGGCGGTTGAGAGCCGCTGGCGGACTCGTTCAATTTAGGGCTCTTTTGTGCTTTTTGTTTAGGGTGTTTGAGGGTTTCTTGGGTTTAGGGTTTAGGGTTCTTTAGGGTTCCTTAAAAAGAACTCCTTAAGGTTCCTTACAGTTTTCGAGGGTTCTTTGGGAAAGCTTCGGGCCCCCCCCCCCCCCCCCGCCCGGACCACCTTTTGGGATAGCATAAGTGCATGCCATGCGTCATCCATCAGCTTCCAATGTCCGTTTTTCGTGGGGGGTTGGAGCCGAGTCGGTGGTTTGGAGGTGTTCCCGGGGGCAGTACAAGAAACCAGGGGGTTCAAATCCCCAGTTTCAGGTCGCCTGAGTCTAGTTTGGCAGGTGTGAAACCGAGTCACAAGGAAATCCCACCCTTCCAAAACACAGAGATGGTACAAAGCAAAGGGCCTTGTGGGCGCGCCAAAATCGAAAAAGGGCCCGGATTGGAGCTTAGGGGTTGGGAACCAAGCCCATGCTTCTACAACCAGCGGTTCAAAACTCCTCGATCCAATCCTCAAAGTCAAATGTCGAACCTCCCGTGAGTTCACTCGCCAAAGAACGCCCTTGAAGAAACGTGGCTATGGTAGAACGCATCCCCCTGAAATCTATAATACCAACGTCAATCATTAATTTTAACAGCTTTACCGACTTGGCCTTTGGGTAGGCCATGGTGGTGGAAATAGCCATTCGTGTGATACCGGGTCCCTCATGTTGCCATGACTACTAGGCCGCCGTGGTTGTGGAAAATAACCATGTGATACCAGCATGGGTCATTCATTTTGCAACGACTTTCTCACTTGGAGGAGTCACATCCTTCATGAAGGCCCAAGAAAAGCGCTCAGGAAGTGGGTGTTTGAATTGGGGGAATGCCGGAGGTCAAACTACTGAACACAAAAACACAACACCCCCCAGTCGGGATGGATGAAGCGCGGTTTGAACTGAAGGGGATAACACTACCAACCGGTGCGAAGCGGATTCTGTCCGCAGTGGGGGGGGTCCGGAAAACTGCCAAGGAGTACAAATCCCTAGGGATGAGTCCAGAAAGAGCTCTCAAACGACGAAAGTTCCTGGGGAAAGTCTGGAGGTGCTCCAAACAGGGAGCCTTCACAAGAGAAAGAATGGGCAACTATGGACTTTAGTGGCCATTTCGTGAGCATGAGTTGTTGCGCCCATAAAACGGGGATCCATGTCCACCAACCTCTTTGGAGGAGGTTCCCGATAAAAGTTCATAGCCGAATGCTCAAACCAATTTGCGCGCCTGGTACTGCTTCACCTTGGACCCACCAGGGATCCACGGGATACTCCTCGAGAACAAAGCGTGCCACCGCCCAAGACCAAAGGTCTTGACCTTCCAAAGAAGGGGTTCTATTGTCTGTGGCGTGATGAACTTATTCAAATGCTGGGAACCACCTAGGACATGATCATGGACATGAATCCCCACCGAATTCTGATGGTCGCCTGGCTTCATTGCCCAATTGAAATTCACGCCCAGTTTGACCAAAAAGTTGAAGGAGGGGGTTCTGGGGTTTCGGCTCGTGGTTCTGGTTATGGTTGCGGGTTTGGCTCATACCAGCGAAAGCCACGACAATTATAGATGATTTAGACGGGGGGATTCAAATCCTTGCCGGACTGATAGTGATTCTCTCACTGCCCAACAACCTTTGACCCATTGGAACTTTTGGTTCTATAGCCATTGCCCCTCCCAGTGGATCCCTTCCCACTATAGTAGGCAACCAACCATCTTGCCATTGCTTGTTGAGGGTGGTTCCCTGGGTTACCTACCTTCAACAGTGACATACACTCACGGCCAAAAACTCCGCAGAACTTCACCCGACGCATCCCTCACCGACGCGTTTCTTGAGCCCCTCGGCTCCTGGAGATCTGATTAGCCTTGGCCACCTGGCCCAAGACCTCCTTGGCCTGGCCGATGGAGCCTGGCGCGCGCAGCCACCCCCCACAGGCCTGAAAAATGCTTCCCCTCAGGTGTCCTTTTCGGGCTCAGCTTTCTTGGGTGCATCAAATTGATTGGTCTCCTTCTTAAGGGGGGGGTCATGTTGTTGGATGTTTGTAAATTCCAAAAGGTCCATTCTTTTAGATGTCAGTTGGATGGCTTCCTGGCTGGCCTCATTTGTAAGGTTTTATCGTTCAAGTCCTCGTTGGTTTCCTGAAGGAGTGTGGGCCTTTTGGTGTGATCAAGGCTTCTGGTTGGATTCCTTGTGAGGCACCGGTGCGTGTTTGAACCCTGCAATTGCCCTAGAAAGTTCTGCCATGGTGTTGCGCTGTCTGAAGGAAAGCAAAGTGCCTTATTGAAGCAGAGGGCAGGTTGAGCAACCCTGAAACCCGGGAGACCTGCAGGCGTGTCACTTGCTCGACAGGCTGCCCAGGCGGCACCTGTCCTCTGAAGACTTCTTTTTCCACGCCAAACCCAAAGAAAGGCAGCGCAACACGCGCGGGACCCGACGCCCGGGACCCGGAACCGCAACGCCAACCTCCCGGAACCCCTCCGGTTCCCTCGAACGGCTCGAACCGAACGCGCAAGCCTTGGGCCACGAGGGCGTAGGGCGTCTCGTGGGTTTGCAGCCGCAAAAAGATGGAGGGCACCAAGGGCAGCGAGCAGAGCAAGAAGGGAAGCCCTGGCGCGAACGCGCGCGCGATCGCGATATGAGGCAGGTGGCTCGTGTGTCTCTTTTTTTTTGGATTTGGGGATGAAAGGGGCCCGAAAGGGATGTCCAACAAAAGGTCCCTTTAAGACCAGCCAACAAATGGGTAGCTGAAAGAAGAAAGACACACCCAGAATCAAAGATAGAATCGCGGAGTGAAAGCCTGAGATAGAAACCTGCTCAAGTACGCCTTGCCTCATTTTGCTTTTCTTCCGAAAAAGGCTGTAGCGAAGGCTGTAGCCCCATTGACTTGGGCCGAAATGGGTTCGACCGAATCACCGGAACAACTGGTGTGAACTTGGGCAGCTTCATGCCCCAAGTGGCCAATCCAAGGCCGAAAGTGTTGCAATGCTCTCTCGTTGATGTCAAGGGGGAAACCAGCCCCACGATTCACTTGACCCCTCAACTTGCCGTTCAGGAACGCACTTCCTCCATTTCCCAAGGCCTTCGAAAAATCCGGGCCCCCTTTTTGTTCCCACGTGGCGAATCCCACTACCAAAATGGCCAACGACCTGCGGGCGTTCTCGGCTCACAGAAAGTGGCAAAGGGGTTCCCCATTGTTCCACCACATCTTCCCCATCGGCAAACTCAGGCCCCCACAGATTCCGCAAGCCATGGTCTTCTAAGAACAAAGACCTATGGGTGGCTCGCCCTGGTTTCAGCTGGCACGGTGTTTTCTTTCGAGGCAAACCCAAAATCTCGGAGCCATTTTGGCGGGGTCCAACCTAGAAGGACCATATATCGCCGGGCCACGCCAGGAGTTGAGGAAGAGCGGCACATGCATGCAAAGGTCCCCGTAGGCTTTACCTGCCGCATAGCCTGGAGCATCCGGCCGAAGGTCCTACTCACAACCAACGGGATGTTCTTTGCAGCTCACTGAAACTGAATAATGTTGACCCAGGGAGAAGCCCTGGCCACAAGCTACTTACTACTTCGATGGCCCTGCTTCAAAATCCAAATCGTGCCCCCAGTGAACATCAACCAATCCAACCACTTAAATAGGTTCCAAATGCGTGGTGAATTCACCTAGGTCGAGATTTTATTTGGGATTTGTTATATTATCTTTTTCCCGTCCTGGCTACTAAAGTGCTGTAATTTACAGCATGTTCTCGCGAAATGTACGTATTTTACGCTAATCCGTCAACATCATCAGCATCGTTTTCAACATCCCCCGCATGTCCAGCCAACATGCCCAGCCAACATCCCCAGCATCACCAGCAAATCGAGCCTTGGCTTCCTACATCTTCAACATCATCAGTTCCTCTCCGGCAAGGTAGGTAGGCATTTATGTATGCATGTTAAAAAGAGGGGCGGGTCCCCTCATGATGGCAAAAGTGAGGATTCAAATACGGGCAAACTAATCCCTGAAAAACACCTAAAACGTAGTGGCGGGGTTGGGGGGGGGGGGGGCGGCAGCCCCCCCCATGATGATTTAAAAAGTGATGATTCAATTGGGGGGCATTTTAATCTCTGCCAAAAATCCAACAAGTAGCGGGGGGGTTGAGGGGTTGAGGGGGGGGCGGCGGCAGCCCTCATGGTGATCAAAAAAGTGCTGATTCATTTAGGGGCAAAAAATCTAAAAAGTTGGGGGGGGCAGCAGCCCCCCCCATGATGATCGAAGTAAAAAGTAGCGGGGGGGTTGGGGGGGGCGGCAGCCCGCCCATGATGATCAAAAAAGTGATGATTCAATTAGGGGCAAAAAGTCTAAAAAGTAGCGGGGGGGTTGGGGGCAGCCCCCCCCATGATCGAAAAAGTGATGATTCAATTTGCGAAAAGCCAAAGCCAGAAAGCGCGAAAAGCCACAAAGCCCAAAAAAAGCCACCTGCCGCAGCGGAACTGGCAATGCAGAGGATGCGAAAAGCCAAAGCCGCAAAAGCCGCATGAACCCACAAAGACAAACAGAGAGGAACTGTGAATGCAGAGGATGCGAAATGAAAAGCAACAAAAGCCACAAAAACCCACGTAAAAGCCACAAAAGCCAAAAAGCCGCAAAGCCACCCACCCTAAAAAAAAAATTAAAAAAAAAAAAAAAAAAAAAAACACATCCAAAAAGAATGCCCTCCTTAACATTACCAAAGGAGCAAAAACCATAAACCAGATGCTTACTGCGAAGCTCAAACTCGTTGCAAGCCAAACGACCAAATGGCCACTTGCGACATTCAGGAAAACAACAGAAGAAAAGGATGGGAGGTTCGTAGAATCCAGCATTAGGGGGATACATACATGAAAACAACTATGTAAATGCCCGAAAAATAAGTTGAAAAGGCAACGGGAAAAGACGACACCCGCTCGAATCCAGATTGTTTCCAGCTGCTGCTTTCAAAGAGCGACGACGGGCCGGGTGTGTAGGGAGACTTAGAAATCGGGGGGCGGCTTTGCTTTGGTTTCCCTTCGGAAGGCAGAAACGAGAGGTGTGCCTTGATGTGTGGAGAGGGGATCCTGTCGAATCGAGCTGGCTGAGGCCGCGGTTGGGGAGACCCGGTGCGTCGCGGTTTTTGAGGTACCTCTTTCAGGTTCCCTGGTGATTTGGATTGGTCTGGGGATATTTGAACCCCTGACTTTTGCAGAGGGTAAATGGGAAACAATCCCTGAGCAACAAACCACCAATCCTGATCTTGAGCAACATGGCTTCGTCTTCCAGCAGACCCCCAAAACGTATTGTGTTGTGTCCTCCGGTAAACACCAACCAAGAAGGGTTCTTTGAAAAGTAAACACATGTGCCAACCTGAAACCCAGGAGTCACCAACTGAGCCTTGAGCAATGGAAACCGATGCCCAAGCCTGTGAAACCGATGAAGACTGTTTGTCTTTTGTGGCTTGCTGGACGCAAATCCGTTGATACATGCGCGCATGATATCAATATGATCAAGGGACCCTTTGAAGTGTAGAACCCCAGAAAACCAAAAGTTCTTTACCCTACGGCAAGGCCTACTCCACACACACACACACACCGACTTGAAAAACAACGACACAATTTCTTGGGCCGCCCCTTAAGGACTCCATAATTTGTGGGTAGCCTTTTTGGGGTTGGGTTCAGGGGAAACAAAAGAGGATGCCTATCACGCGTGACCTTTTGATAAACAATCGACGGGTTTCCCTAGTAAATGGATGACAAATCTCAAGTGTAAACCGGTGGAACCCAGCTATGTCTAAGCAAACTGACCTAAGGACACCTATGCGCTCTGCAAGTTTTACATGGAACCCAAAGAGCGTGACTGGAGACTCCTCCACTTCCGGGCTTTGGCCGAGCTGCCTGCGAAGAGAAGCCTGAGCCGACTGGCGAGCGCGGTGGATCTGAAGGGCATGGCGTGACTCGTCCGCTTTCTAGTGGGAAACCACCAAACAAGAAGGGGATTTCGAGCGTGCAGGGCACTTTCTGGGGGTCCGAGATCTCTTCTAAATCCACCTTGCGATAAAATTGGAGGTGCCCTGATCTTCTGGTTGATGGGGTGAGCCCTTTTCTGGGCAATAGCCCTCAAAATTCTATTTTGCGGCGCCGCGAGTCCCATTTCGAGAAACACCCCAATTCCCCCATTCCCTCGACAGCAACCCGCATCCGAGCGAGGCGCGAGATGTAGCTGTCCCGCTTTGAGACCGGCAGAAACTCCAACAGCACCGCGATGTCCGTGCCCACCAGCGCCTCAGATTCTCACCCACCGACGGGCTTCCGCAGGCATACATCGATGGCGACCGGGACCCCAAGACACTGGGGTCGGGAGAACTTTTCCGAGCTGTCCCACGCCTCACTCGGTCTCCAAGCACCGAACCCTTCGGGAGGCGGCCCGCCGGCCCGCCCAGGCTGGCCGAGGCGCGCCCAAGCCCAGGCCCGCGCAGATGCGGCACAGGCCGAAGAACCAGAAGTCCTGAGGGCGGAAGCGGCGCCGCGCAGCGCCGATGTGGCTGGCGGGATCCGACCAAATGGGCGGTTTCTGGGTCTTGGTAAACCTGCCCCGAAAAGGGGAAGGCTGGTCCAAATGGAATGCGACTCAGAGGCAGCCCTGAGAAAGACGTTGGGAAAGTGCGGGAGTTCACGTGCCAAACACGGGACACATTTTCTTCAAGAGCTTCTTTATCCAAATGTCCATATGGCTTCCCTGAAATCGCTTGCGAGACCCTGTAGCTCAGTGTCAATCACCTCCCCTCGGTCTTTTTTGTCGCTGGCGTACTGCATGCGTCTGATCCTCAATTTGAGAGCCCGCGACATGTGCATGCAGCTGGGGAGCTGGAGCCAGCACCGACAGGCTCGAGAAGATCAGGGTCACTATACCTTGCGCGTTGCCCCGTTGGCCCAGACGCGCAAGCGCAGGCTTGTGGGGGTGTTCCGGTTTTGGCAATGGCGGGGGGTGGGAAGAATCGATCCGTCCACAAGAACCCCACCGAAATGGAGAATCCCGCCGCATACCCCAGGGTTGTGCACCCCCCCTTTTTCGCCACACAAGAGATCAAAGAGGCCCGATCCACAGAGTGCCCCATGGCTGAGCACCAAGAGAGCCCATGGCTGTCTCGGCTCGAAACCCACCCTTAGCCCCCGCCCAAGAAAGGAATCTATATCGGTGTGAACTTGAACAAGGGACCCTGTGGTGGACACCATTTCGGCGTGGATTTATGCCCACCACTCGCTTTGAAGGTGGTTCGTTATCAAAATCCATGGCCATCTTCCATCAGCGATGCCAAACCCCCCGTCAGTTTTGCACAAAAACCAGCCGGCGCGTGTTCCTTGAAACACATGGAACCCGCAGAAAAGAAGAAGAAGAAGAAACAACGAGAAGAAAAAAAAGAAGAACGAACGGCTTCTCCAATCCGAAGCGCTGGAGGCGCAGTGGATGTGCCGCCGCCCGAAGCCTCAGGAGTTCGGCGCCATGGGAGGAAAATGAAGAGAAAACCCGCCATCCACCCGTGGTCATGGAACCTGACTGGGCGGAGGCCCAAAATCCAGCTTTACAAGATCTTGGCTAGCGTTAGCAGGGGAGGCAAAAAAATAGTTCAATGGGGATTTCCCCACTAAACCGCAATAAGCCAAAATGTAAAATGTGTCCCAACAAGCGTGAGATGGGCCGTTTCTCTTGTGGGTTCCCCTCGCAACGTGGACCGAAAGGGCAAATGGCAATTCTCCGGCGATGTTCCAGGGAAGCGTTGGCTCCTCTTGTCGCAGAGCCGACCACCAACACACCAGAGCCGGCGGTGCCCTTGGAACATCCACAGGAAAAGCTTCCGGCCCCGCAAAATCACGTTGCTCACACCAATTCGGGGGTTGTCCCAAATTCGTCACCCCCAAAAAAGCTGGGGTTCTCGTTCTTCAGCTCGAAAGACATGATTCAACAAGTCCAATTTGATTTGCCTCGGGCATACTTGCTCCAAGGGCCATGCAGCATGTTGCATTGCACCACTTCAAGCAAAAGCAAACTTACTCACCCGCCCGCCCGAGCCCCACACCCACACCCACACCCACGCGCTCTTTTTCAGTTCGGGGCCCCGGGCTGTCGGCCAAGGACCCGCTGAGAAAAGCGGCGCAGGCCATGGCGATGTGGGAGAAGAGGCAAAGGTCCACGATGTTGATCTCGTCTGTGTGCCTGAGCCCGCGCCGGCCGGACCAACAAAACCGAAGGAACCGGAGGAACCGGAGGAACCGAAGGAAACGGATGGCTGGGGAGCGTGCACCAAGACCGGACCAACCTAAAAACCCCCGCCCCAACAAAAAAAATGGAGGAGCCGGATGGCTGGGGGGGTTCACCAGGCTTCAAGCCAAGGTAGAATAGCTGGCCCTCCAAGTCCAAGTCACAGGTTCTGCACCAGCTCGGAGGCCATGCCCTTCAGTAGCACGTCCTCCGCGCCGTCCACGGCCCAGGCCAACCAGATCCCCAGCCTCGCAGGCGCCGAGGCGAATTTTTGGGATGGAGTCAGGGCTTGGGGTCGTGCTCTAGGGAAATGGATGTGGATTATTTTTGAGTTGGGCGGGATGGATTCAGTTTTTTTTTGTCGGATGAGGTTGATTTCGGCGAGTTGGGAGTCATTATCCTTGACGACTTTGCTTTAAGGTTCCTGGGGTAGAAGAAAATATGTCCAGTGATACTTTCCTTTAGATCCGACCGGGGGAAATAAAAGCACATATTCTTTGAGCAAATGAAAGACCACCCTTGAAGTTTGAACCCGATCCTTTTTGCAAATCTTTGTTGGACTTTGGAAAGAAGGATCCTTGGAATCTGAAATTGGGAAGTACCACTAGAGGAAGTCCCTGCCTTGAAAGGAGTGAAACTTGAAATCTGATCTGATGTCAACCAAGGTCGCAGGGGGGGCAAATGGCCATGGGGGAGGAAAAGGAAGGGACGGTTGGAAGGAGGCGTTTTTTGTTTGTTTAAAGAGAACAAACAAGTTGAAACGAGGCACTGATATCGAATCCACAGGGTTTTGGGAGGTTCTGGAGACTCATTCTAAAGGTTCATCCCGCATTTTTTTTTCGCCCATCGTTGACGGTTTTGAGAACAGATCTTTCGGTTCCCAGGCACGAAGGCTCCAGGAAAAGCGCCAAACGGAAGAGGAGTTGTCTGGGTCCAAATATGGGACCCCCCAAAATGACTGCTCCTTGGATTCCGGCGAACCCCTCAACATGGTACCAGCAAGAGACACGCCCAAAACCATCTGCGTGGCCAGGGCCAATGTCCTGGCAAAGGGCACCTTTTTCAGTGTCCATGGCTGATCTCCCGCGCTTGAATGGAAGAGGCAAGTGCGGGGCTAGCTCCGGACCAAGCCAAAGCACCCGAAGGCCCTCTCCTTTCTCTTGGTCAGCAACGTCCTTTGTCTTGGTCTGCCAAGCAAGTGTACTTGTATCACGCACTTCTGGGATTCCAGACAACCTCCATGTTTGAAGAATTCGTCATTGGGAAGCAATTCATTCCTTCCCAGCAGAGTGAAATCGCACTTCCCCCAAGCCGTTCGCTGACTTGTTTCGGGCTTCTCGCAGCCAGGGTGCACAATCCGCCATTGGTACCAGCCTGGCAAGGGCATGCGATCCCACATAGCACCCGTGGGTACCTGAAACTTTGTTGCTTACCTCGCACAGGGGCCCTTCATCGAGCGCCTTGATAGTTTCTGGGGGATTAGGTATCTGAGCCGCCCAAGATGGCCGGAGTGTCGGTTTTGGGCGGTCCCTTCTCAGTTCAGCTTGTGTTGCAAAGCCGTATCGGCTTGGGGTATTGCCAGCAGCTCTGCTGAACACACCCTCGGAAAGAGAAGAAAAAAAAGGCAAACCATGCTGTCGTGTAATTGGGTTCCATGGCGCCCATTGTTTTGAAGCGCTTTAAGCTGACAACGTTGACAAGTTCTTGCCGCGTTGCGGCTGCGGCAGGGGCGCAAATCATGTTCTGGCAGATTCCAATCGAAGTCCGCAACCGTGATGCGAACGGTACAAAACAGACCGCTCTGTGCGGTGAGTTGCAGAGGGCTTGGAGATGGTGACATCGCTCTCTGAATTCAAAAAAAAAAACGCTGGGAACTGGCCGCAGCTAACCAGGGCGTTGGCAAAGTTCCTATGGCTCTTCCTGTGTTGGCCGGACCGGCCGAACCTTTCGCGGCCGTTGCAGGGGCCCGAGACGAAACTCACAAACTGGTCGCCTTGGGCTGTTCAATTGGCCACTCCCGTTCCATGCCATCTGTGAAACCGAGGGCCAAATCTAGATCCTGCAAAGAGTACATGGCCTTAGGTCCCGAAAAGGCGCCCGGATTTCTCGCCCTCGGGTTCGGGAGTCCAAACGTAAACCCTCGAAAACCACTATTCAAAATGGAGGCTGCGGGCCACAAACCAGCTTCCTCTAGAGGGGAGTCGTCAGCGCACGGGGAATTGGGGTCTGCCTGCTTGTCCTTTCGGTTTCTCAAGATTTCCCTTCAAAACATTGGTACCGTTTTTTTCTTGTCCTCTTGGTTTCCCTTCTCCCGATGTCCCTTTAAAGATTTCCCTTAACCCAAGTTGGTACCCTTCCAGCCCATCGTCCCTCTACCAACACAAAGCTCGCAAGAGCGCGCCTGTGCCGCAGATCTCCAGAGACCCCTCGAGGTCCAAAGGGCTTCCCAGCCTTGCGAAGAATGAAACGGATCGAGGATCGATCGAAGTAAACCCCCCGTAAACCCCCCGTTTTCTCGATCCTTCCGAACCCTCCAAAAGTGGTTGGAGTCCCCACGAAACCCAGGGACAACACCCCCCCAAAGAAGAAAAACGTGGTCCGAACCCTTCCGTTACCCTTTAAAAGTGGCTTGATTTCCCCGCGAAACCCTTGGACCCACCCAAAACAAAGGGTAACCGAAATCCGCCGACATTGCTCGGCGTGTCGGACACCTAAGAGAGGATAGAGGATAACCTAAGCCCCCACCCCCCCCCTAACCCCCCGACCCGACGTCTGATAAGGGGGGGGGGGGTGGGGGGGCCCCCCCCCCCCAAGGACCGCGCGGCAATTTGATGACGTTCCACTAAACGTAGTCTTCGGGGACCCGGTGTCGCAAAACAAGGGTCCCAGGCTCGATTCCCCCTGCCGGCTTTTTTGCTGGCTTGGGCTTCCTGCATCCTTTTGCCGAAAATCTGGAAAAACTCTGTGTTTTTGGACATCATCTTTGCGAAAACGATGGAAAAACAGTGCTTTTTGCGGCGGGAAATACTGGGGAGCAAAGGGGAAGTGCAAGGATACATACATACACATTACATTACACAACATCACATTACATTACTTTAAATTACATCACATTACATACATACATACATACATACATACATTACATTACATTACATTACATTACTTTACATTACATTACATTACATTACATTACATACATACATACATTACATACATTACATTACATTACATTGCATACATGCATACATGCATTACATACATACATTCATGCAGGCATGCATGCATACCTGCCTACCTACCTACCCTACATACATACATACATACATACATTACATTACATTACATTACATTACATTACATTACATTACATTACATTACATTACATTACATTACATTACATTACATACATTACATTACATTACATTACATTACATTACATTACATTACATTACATTACATTACATTACATTACATTACATACATACATACATACATACATACATACATACATACATACATACATACATACATACATACATACATACATACATACATACATACATACATACATACATTACATTACATTACATTACATTACATTACATTACATTACATTACATTACATTACATTACATTACATTACATTACATTACATTACATTACATTACATTACATTACATTACATTACATTACATTACATTACATTACATTACATTACATTACATTACATTACATTACATTACATTACATTACATTACGTAGATACATTACATTACATACATACATTACATGACATGACATTACACACATGCATACATGCAATACATACATACATGCATGCATGCATGCATGCATGCATGCATACATACATACCTACCTATACATACATACATACATACATACATACATACATACATACATACATAACATACATAACATACATACATACATACATACATACATACATACATACATACATACATACATACATACATACATACATACATACATACATACATACATACATACATACATACATACATACATACATACATACATACATACATACATACATACATACATACATACATACATACATACATACATACATACATACATACATACATACATACATACATACATACATACATACATACATACATACATACATACATACATACATACATACATACATACATACATACATACATACATACATACATACATACATACATACATACATACATACATACATACATACATACATACATACATACATACATACATACATACATACATACATACATACATACATACATACATACATACATACATACATACATACATACATACATACATACATACATACATACATACATACATACATACATACATACATACATACATACATACATACATACATACATACATACATACATACATACATACATACATACATACATACATACATACATACATACATACATACATACATACATACATACATACATACATACATACATACATACATACATACATACATACATACATACATACATACATACATACATACATACATACATACATACATACATACATACATACATACATACATACATACATACATACATACATACATACATACATACATACATACACATACATACATACATACATACATACATACATACATACATACATACATACATACATACATACATACATACATACATACATACATACATACATACATACATACATACATACATACATACATTACATACATACATACATACATACATACATACATACATACATACATACATACATACATACATACATACATACATACATACATACATACATACATACATACATACATACATACATACATACATACATACATACATACATACATACATACATACATACATACATACATACATACATACATACATACATATACATACATACATACATACATACATACATACATACATACATACATACATACATACATATACATACATACATACATACATACATACATACATACATACATACATACATACATACATACATACATACATACATACATACATACATACATACATACATACATACATACATACATACATACATACATACATACATACATACATACATACATACATACATACATACATACATACATACATACATTACATACATACATACATACATACATACATACATACATACATACATACATACATACATACATACATACATACATACATACATTACATTACATTACATTACATTACATTACATTACATTACATTACATTACATTACATTACATACATTACATTACATTACATACATACATACATTACATTACATTACATTACATTACATTACATTACATTACATTACATTACATTACATTACATTACATTACATTACATTACATTACATTACATTACATTACATTACATTACATTACATTACATTACATACATACATACATACATACATACATACATACATACATACATACATACATACATTACATACATACATACATACATACATACATACATACATACACATACATACATACATACATACATACATACATACATACATACATACATACATACATACATACATACATACATACATACATACATACATACATACATACATACATACATACATACATACATACATACATACATACATACATACATACATACATACATACATACATACATACATACATACATACATACATACATACATACATACATACATACATACATACATACATACATACATACATACATACATACATACATACATACATACATACATACATACATACATACATACATACATACATACATACATACATACATACATACATACATACATACATACATACATACATACATACATACATACATACATACATACATACATACATACATACATACATACATACATACATACATACATACATACATACATACATACATACATACATACATACGAGAGAGGGAGATTGGGGAGAGAGTGGCTTGGGGGGATGGGGAGGATGGGGAGCGGAGGGAGGGAGAGAGGACGACAGAACACACCAGGGAGACAAGGGAGAGAGGAACAAGGAGAAAAGGGAGAGGACAATGTCGGCGGACTGAGCCGGAGGCTCTAAAGTATCAACCCCGAGCCAAAAAACCGCTGCACTCCGCTGACGTCTCGAGCTCGCCAAAAATCGACCTGTCTGGTTTTGAGGGAACCGACTTTTGGCTGGGAAGCGAAACCAAGAGGAAAACTTCACCATTTGGGGGTGCCCCAAAAAAGACACACCCCCGTGTCTTCAGCAGGTTGCGAACCACTCTGTCACAATCGGGTCCCAAGATATCTGCTCTCAGCAACAATGACCCTTAACTCTTGGCCTGGTGCCGCTGCCCGCAGGAAGTAGGAAGTTGATGCGAGGGTTTAAGAGCGGTGTACAGGCGACGCGGCCCCTTTGGGCCTTCGAAGCTTCCGGGAACTTTGTTTGGGGGGGCGTGGGTCCAAATACCCCAATTCTGCTGAAAAACAAGGCATGCTAAAATACAGACACCGAATCAAGCAATCAAACAAATAGTTGCTGCCAATCTGCGTTCCCCTTTTCAAGTACTTCCCACCAACAGGCGATATGTCATGTTCAAGTCACATCTTCTCAAATGTGCATACATCATCATGCGTGGCACAAACACAGGGATCGGGCCAAAATGGATCCCTGATGGAAAAGTAGACCACCTGCGGGCCCCTGGCTCTTAATTTTTGAGCCACACCCATATGTGATTCCCACATGAGCTGGACCCCTTCAACTTCAAGTCTGTCTTTTCGTCTTAACCCGCAGCCCCATGGAGTACCTTTTTGCCCCATTTTGCCCCTGGGTTGGGGTGGACATTTCCTGAGACTCTGACACTTCCTCCAACCCCCACCTCCCCAACCTACCCACCCCCAACCCCCACCTCCCCAACCTACCCCCCCCAACCCTTAACCACCGCCAAACCCTCAAACCCCCAACCCCCCACCCCCCCCCCAAAACCCGCACCCTGGCCTCCCTTGCCCAGAGCTTCGACTCGGCGGGCGGAAGTGGAGGTAGGTGCCAAAGGAGAGCACCGCCCCCAGCCTCAGCCGAGAGGACGAGCGCGCATGGGCAAAAAGGCGTGGGGAGCTGGATGAGTCTCTCTCTCTGAGGGCAACCCCCCCCCCCCAAAAAAAGGACAAAATGCTGGGAGTGGTCCTTTTGGAATGTGTCCCTTGCAAACCGCCAAAAGGGTAATATCCTCAGAAAAAAAAAAAAAAAGAAAAAAAAACACAGACCCAGATTCTAGCAGAACCACCAAGCCACCAATGTTGGAAAGGTTTGACATCATGTATGAGTTTTGATGGGTCCCACGATGTCCCACGCAAGCAGGTCCTTGAGTTTGCTAGCTCCAATACAAAAATGTCCAGTTCTTAAAAATTCATCAGTTAGCTCGGGGCATGTCCCAAATGGACCTGTTCTTGAATCCTTTGGTGGACATCATTTAGGTGGAGATTAATTTTCACAACCCACTTTTCAGGTGGTTCCCCATTAAAATTTCGTAGTAGCTAGATTGATCCAGTTTGGGGAAAACACCCACCTGTCCATTCCGGAGTCGACATTTGGGGTCGACATGTGGGGCCCAGAAAACCTGACCTGAGCTCATCCCACTCAAGCCACAACAAGGAGAGCAACGGAGGGCCAACTGGCCTATGGCGGGCCCGGGAACGCACAAGGCACGATGCAGTCGATCCTGGCACCTCTGTTGCAGTCGCGCAGAAATGTGTCAAAAAGGGCCCTTTCGTGGTTGTCGCCTTCTTTAAACGACCAACATCCAGCACCCCCCAACTGCTTTCCCCTCAAGTACTGCAACCAAAAGCAGTGGCTACCGACCTTTTGGCTTAAAAGCACCCACACGGGTCACATTGGGGGAGGGGGGGCCCTCGAACCGACCACACAACGTGGAGTGACGTTGAGAATCGTTTCACCTCCCAGGCTTCGGACTTATCCCAGGCTTCCCTCCCTAGCGGCTTTTCAGGGACGCCAGTTGCCCAGCTCCTGGGCCCCCTTGAAAGCCTTCCCATTTCTTCGTTGGGGGGAGCCTTCCACGGAAAGGGCCCCTCCGTTTCGAGCCGCGAGAAAGCAACGCGCACAAAACGAAGGAGAAGCCGCAGGAGCCCCCAGCGGCCCGAAATCCCAAGGCCTTTGACCTCAAAGAACAAGGCCTTGGAATCCTAGAAAAAAGACAAACCAAAACACCAGTGTTTTTTTTTTCAAAACACACACACACACGTCAATATAGTTTGGTCGCCCTTTTTATTTGTGTCTTTGGTTGCCGCCTTACCTCGTCTTCTGGCAACACAACAACACCATCGTTTTCTTGGCAAAACAATACACAAAAAAGAAAGAAGAGAAAAACGCACACATTTCGTTTGGTCGCCGTATATTTTTGTTTGGTTGCCAATGGCCTTCCCAGTTCACCTCGGCAGCTTCCCGACCGCGGCGTCGCCGGTCGCCGTCCGACTGTCCGAGGCAACGACCCCAATATGGTGCGGAGCCGGGAGGTGAAGTTCAGCCAGCTCGCGGCCGTCTGCACCACCGTGCCCTCGACTCGCTGGGAGCAAAAAAACAAAAAATATGAGGAGAATAAAAATAAATGGGACATCAATAGTAATAATAATAATAATAATAATGATAATAATAGTAATAATAGTAATAATAGTAGTAATAATAATGATAGTAGTGATAAGAACAATGATAATAATGATAATGATGATAATGATGATACTGGTGATAATGGTGATAATGATGATAATGATGATAATGATGATAATGATAATAGGGATATGAATATCAACAATAATGATAATGGTAATAATGATAGTGATAATGATAAGACAAAAAAAATGTACCTGGACACTTCAACTATGGGGGTTTATATTAAAAATAATGATAATAATTGTTGATACTAATAATGATGATCAATGGCAATAATGATAGTGATAAATGACGTTCAATAACAAAAGATGTACCCGACCCTCAAACTACCCAGTTAAGAAAAGCGAGTTCGCCAACCAGAGTTTTGGGCAATAACCCATCTTTAAGTTGGAATGTTGAGCGCCCGTACCCTAGGGTTCCTTGGCCCCATTGAAAGAGAATGGCCTTGGGACCCAATTTGGGTGATGACAAATCCTTAGACAAACAATGGTGGTTATATTAACCCTATTGTTTTCATGGTGCTTGGAATCGGTGGGTGGTTCCCCTTTTTGTTTAGGAGACACCCCAAAATGGATCTCGGTGTTCCTTCTGGGAAAACCAAAACCACAATAAAGCAGGCACCAGCCAGTGGGTGTGTCAATTGTGTTAAAGTTCGCTACCCTTCTTGGATGGCTTCAAATGGGCTTGCCACAAGGAAAACTCTTGCAAGGCCCATTTTTAGGCAGCCCCCAATTCTAAGACAAACCCATCGAACTGAAAAGCAAAAATGGCCGGTCCTGCGCGAAATGGATTGGTTCAAAGCTCGGGGGTCAGACAAAAAACTGTGGGCTGTTCTTTTTCTGATTCTTCTGCTCGACGTTTTTCAACTCGGCGAAACGGAACCCCAACCACCAAACCCCTGAAAACCGAAAACCCTAGAGTCGGATGGCTGGGCACCGCCAAGAAGAATTCCCTTGCTCAATAAAGGAATTGGTGAATGCGGGGAAGCTGGCATCCGCAGACTCTGCATGTTGTCGCCTCTAATGTTGACCCCAGATTAATAAACCCCTGGTTGATTAATAGGGGGGTGTCCCCTTTTAGTGGGGATTCATCACTTTTGGAGGGAAGACCCCCTAATAATGGGACGGGTTTATTCATCCGGGATCAACATTAGGGAACGAAAAACGGTGCAATGATTCAATCATGGATCCAATACTCGCCGGTTGGATAGGGAATTGTTTTGGGGGTGTTGGGAATGAACCGGAAGGGGGATGCCCTGAAAGACCGAGAAATCCCCACAAGGAACCAGCAAAAAAAAACATCCACCCCCAACCACAGGGTGCAAAGCCAAAAAAACAAAGAGGAAGATGTGGGCCTGAAGCTAGATGATCTTTTTGGTTCCCGGCCCCAAGCCTCGAAACAGACCCCCACCGCTGTCAGCGCAAAGGCCCGTTCGGCTGAATGGTTCCGAAAGGGAAAGGCACAAAAGGAACTCTCTCCATTTCAAGGGCCCGCCCGCCCGAAGACAAATCCATGCACTGGGCAACAGCCGCCCCGCGGCAATGCTGTACTCCCCCAAAAAATGGCGGAGGAACTTGGGACCATCCCCAAAAGACGGAGTTCAATTGAAAACATCCCCCTGAGAGAAGAGTGTCACAACAAGCTGGGCCGCCTTTTTGACCCATCGCAAAAAACTTGCAAAACGAGTTGGTGGAAGCTGGCTGGTGGCCCCATCCCAGTCCCCCCATCCCAGTCCCCCCCACCCCGCCCCCCCACCACCAAATGGTGGCGGCCATTTCGGGGGAAAAGTACACACGATTCCCTTTATGTTAAAGAGGATGAAAGAAGAATCACAAATGGAGAGGTTGCGCCATTGATAGAGGGGGGAATCCATCCCCATGTTATCAGTGAAGGGGGGGTTTTCTTGGTATCACAGAGCCCCAACAACGTGCCAGTTGTTCACCAAAAGCCACTCCAAATGCGTCCCCCGCAAAACATCACCCAACAAGGAAACTCAATGTGTCATGGCCCTGAATGGAAAAATCTTTACACCACCCCAAAAGGGAGAAATCAACGGAGCCCGGCTCGCTAACTCATATCCAAAGGTGCTGACTGGAAGGGCGAGACGTGGACCCGCTTGTAGTCCACACACAAGTTGCAGGCGCTCTGATGCTGAATGGGCGGCACGTACCGCTCCTGCAAGAAAAGTATTGCCCCATCGCTTGCAGCGAGGCCGTTGGCAGATCGTGAGTCACTTGCTCAAAACCCTTTGTATTAAACTGGTCGCAATCCCAGAACCATGCAAATCAAGAACTAAGGCGGAGATCCGCAACTATTTCTGGCAGGGACTGCCCCTTACCTTCATCTACCCGGGTTTTGAGCACGTGGCTCAGGTGTGATTTTCCGGCTGCTCCGCACCTCTCAGAGCCCCAGTTCCCCCACCCCCAGCCCCTGTGTTCACGGCGGCCTACGGAACATCCCAGCCACGCTTCCTCAGGGCAGTTTGTTGTTTGCGCTCGGGTTCTCCGACACGAGTCTCCTGTGCCGAAGAGCAAAACACACAAACCGGTGAGTGAGCCACGCAACTTGGTGAGTGAGCCAAGCTCAAATCCTGACAGATCTGATCCTCGGCTGTGACAAGCCCAGAAAAGAAACAAAAAAACAACACACGTTGCGTTGTTTGCGTCAGGTTCTGACTCTGGCTTTGGCTGCCCAAACATGAGGACCGCTTTTGAACACCCTGAGGAAACTTAAACAGCACCCAGCTGTCATTGCCAACTGTTGCCTTTTGGCCCTCTCAAAGGCGCGACAGATTTTCAAGCCCGAGCTGCAGGAACAAACCCGACCACAGTCACGTCCGAATCGTTTGTTTGCTAAATTTCCTGCGGTTGGCACCGAAAAGCCCACAAAACAGCACTCCAGGCTGAGGCTCTCCTCCCCTCCTTTTTCCCTCCAGGTGGGCTCCTTCTTGACCAGCGCGGCGGGCCTGAACTGAGTGGTCCGCGTCACTTGGGCCAGCAGAAGCAGCAGCAGCAGCCGCGACATGACATGGGCGGCGACGCCGGATACCCGGACGCCGGTCTTCCCCCGGGCCCCGGTTGGAGCTTCGAAATGGTGTCGCTGATCGTAAGCTGGGAGAAACATGGAGAAAGAGGGAGCCCAGTTTCGGACAAAAACAAAGCGTTCGTTCGTGTTCTCTTCCGGCTGTGGTCCCGATGTATCGCACCTTGATGCCTCTTCTCGTTCGCACTGACTTGTCAAATCAGGGTGCCGAGTCCAACAAAGAAAGACCTGCCGAAACATGCGCCTAGTCCCATTCAGGTGGCCCGTGCCAGCCGTGGGGTAAAAAGTTCTCACGGTTTCAGGTTGAGCAGACCACACTTGGGGCTGAAGCGGCGAGCGTAGGCGGAAGGCGCGGAAGGCCAGAAGCACCGCTTTTGGGCTGCATGAAGACGGGGAAGGGCTACCACCCCCCGTGCTTGGGGCCAGAAAAGACCAACCCGACTCAGCAGAAAAGTTGGCCACCCCCACCTCGCAAAGGGAACTTCAAGACCACTGCTCAATGCATGTCCTGCCAACCTACTAGTTGTCAGCTCCGACTCACCATGCACCCTAGGAGTTCTATTTGTTGGTATCCTGACATGCCAAACTTGCCCCAAGAAGGGGGGAGGCTCGGGGCAACCGGTCCGGGACTCCAAAGCCCCCAAGTCCGCACAAGTCAGCAGAAAGCTTTGCAGTTGGAACAGACCCACTGGATCAAGGTCACATCTATGTGCAAGCCCACATATTTTTGGACTGGCCACGTTCCAAGAGAACAGGGGCCCAGTTTCCCAGGATGAAACAGTAGCTCTCGGCCATGTTCGAAGGAATGTCCAACTTCAGTGCAATGTTACAGCATGTGCGACCGTTTGGACAGAAAAAGCAACAAGAGACACGAGGGTCCAAATTTGGGACCCTTGTTGTTGAGTGAATCGGGTGGAAGATATCATGACAGGCTTCCGCCGGTGATAGAAAAAAACCACTTGGAGCAGCGAGGGAACTTAGCAAACTTTTGCTCCCCGCACCTTAGGCCCAGTTCCAGGCTAATCCATCCAAGGAAGCAACTTGGCTCAGCAGGTCTAACCAAGTGCGGCGCACCTGTCGGCCTTCCTTTTTCGGCCGTGGAAAGGTCGCCTTTGCCCCAAAAGCTCGGGTCACTGCAATCAGCCTCTCAATTTAGACCAGTTGGGACCCCACGCAGCGCCTTTCTCCCAACCCAAAACAAAACATATCCAAAGAGCACGGCCAATCCATGAGGAACCCGAAGGGTCTGAAACTTGGCACGGGACAGTCTCTATGTACTTTGCAAGGAGGGACTCGACCTGAGCGGAGGCAGGAAGCTTGCGCGTCACGTGTGCAGGCAAGGGGGGGCAATAAGTACGCAGGAATTCGCCACTAGCAAGCCGCTATGCAGGGCTTCATATGGCCATGGGTCAAAACCCCGTACCCAATCCCCACTCAAATAGCCTAAAATGGGTGGTGAATTCACCTACCCCAAAATAGGATCCCATTGGTTGTGACCCACAGCCATAGGGCTTCAAAAGAGTGGGTTGGGAGAAGAAGCCTTCTTGGAATGCTTGTAATTATATGAGCCACGGTCGTTGTCTCTTCACCGTCTAGGTCCGTCGCCCGCAGGTGCTAGTCACCATCTCAGGGATGCTATGGATAGTGGCAACCGCCCTGATGCAGCCAGACGGTGTTTTTTTTTTTCCCCCGTTTGCATGGCTCCGTGCCGCAACCGCCCTGCATGCTGGGTGAGTTCTAACGATTCCTGACGAAGGAATCTTTAGCACGGGTCGGTGGACCAAAATCCTGAGGCCTGGCCTTCCTGTAGCAAAGCACCCGCCCATCTCCCGATGGGTGTGATGATTTTCCAGCCAGATACCGAAGCTGGTCCCTGTACAAGCATGGCTTGCTTTGGTACTAGATGGAAATTGCCGCAAGGCCAAAGATCCCACAACCATGTCCCAAGTCTCCCCGCCCCACCAAACAAATCGGAAGCATGCCATCGCTCAGCTGCATCCAACTGGCGCAACATGAGGGTGTACATGATTTCGCCTGTACCCTCCAAAAAAAAGCCATGCATGGTGGGTCCCTTTATGAAGAGCTCCATTCACATGTGAGAACGCCCCCGGCTGCACATGCTACACTCCCCCCGTCGCATCCTTGGGCTTCCGGACCACCTCCTGGCTCGGGCTGCTCTCAGGGCCGTCCTGATCAAATTCCAACGAGACGTCGCGGCTTTCTTCTTCTTTCTTTTTCGACCCATCCGTCGTTCGGGGCAAATACACCTAAAAAATTGGCGTGCCTGTTTTGAGGTTGGGCTCTCTGATTGAAAACTCAGCCAAAAGGGGGGTACCCCAAAAAGACAAACACGCAAAAGGAGGACATGGAGGGAGCAACTGGCTGGCATCTGGACAGCGTTTTGGGCGCTCAGTGTTTTACCAAATGTGAATTCACATTCTCGGGCCCCTTGTTGCTTGTTGCTTGGACCGCCCCCACCGGGGGCGTGGAAACAAGGCTTCCTCCAGGCCCGGTTTGTGTTGTTTTGGATTCACGCCTGGGTACAAAACAAAGAAACAAACAAACAAACAAACAAACAAACAAAGAAACAAAGAAACAAACAAACAAACAAACAAACAAACAAACAAACAAACAAACAAAGAAAGAAAGAAAGAAAGAAAGCAAGAAAGAAAGAAAGAAAGAAAGAAACACTCAATCAAACAAACAAACAAACAAAGAAAGAAACAAAGAAAGAAAGAAAGAAAGAAAGAAAGAAACAAACAAAACAAACAGGCCCTCGAGGAAGCTAGGCGAGAGTCCAAACCAACACCAGGCCCTCGAAGCCGGGAGGTTCTTGTTTTTTACACACATTAGTTATTCACTTGCTTGGTGGAGAGTCCAAAAGAAGGACATCCAAACTAAAATCATCGACTCTGATGTTCACCGGTTCCGCGTTTCGGACGTATGTGGCCAGCAGTGGCTGCATTCCAACATTCGGCCGCTGGTATGAACATCTGCATCAAGACGCTTTCGCAAGGCAGGGAGGTGAACCCGCCCAAAGCGAGCGGAGTACTTTTGTTCCCGGACAAGGAAACGCCTATTCAAGGAACATCTGGGAGAGCGAGCTACATCCAATCAGCTTGGTCTTCACAGTCACGGAGTTCCTCACATGGAAGTGTCTCAAAATGGAAACAAAAAGGAAATCAGTTCAACTATTTGGGCGTGTCTGTTTTTAGGTTGCACCTCCCAACATGGATTTCCAAACGGCTTTTCCTTTTGGTTTCCCTTCAACTAAACCCGCAAACAAATTGGACACCGAGGCTCAAAAGAATTCCCAGCCCCCCATTTCAGGCTTCGATGTTTCTTACCCCGAGCCATATTTGCCTCAAGGCCATCACCCTCCTGCAATTAAAATAACAATAAAAAAGAACCAGGGAGCAGTATGAAAGTTTCGTTGCAATTAAAGGAAACCACAAGTTGGATGGTTTCGGGAAAAGGAAACCACACGTTGGATAGATACAAGTGGGAGTCATTCCCGAAGATTCGCTGAGAAGCAGCAAGCTAACAGGGTGTTGCACGTCAATTGGGCCTCCCCTCGCAAGAGCTTTCTGCCAGAGCACCGCAAGACACGAGGCATTGGGTCGGGGAAAAGCACCAAAGACCCTCCCTCCCTCTGCGGCGAGAGCAGAGCCCTCGCAGCCACATCGCGCAAGGCAGAGCAAGCACCCCTCTCGAGGGGAGCAGCAATCGCCCGAACTGACCATCCAAGAAATCGGAGCGACCAATGCCGGGCGCCTTCTCGCGCAAATACGCAGCCAGCGCTGTGGTAAACTCACCTAGTGCGGCCAAAGAGGGTAATGGGGAGAGAAATAGGAGGTGGTAGTTGGTTTGTGCCAGGAATAGTCCCAAGTGGTGCAAGATGTTGTCCCGCCACAGTAGAGCAGGGAGGGAAAGGGAATCGCAAAACGAGAAAGACAACATGGAAACAAACAGAACATCTGGTGATGTGCATCCGCCAGAGCTGCTTCCCGGCGATGGTAGAATTACTGGAGCCCCCCTTTTGGCCAACCTTTGGCACTCTTGCAACCTTGTAATCCGCGTTTTGTCCCAAATTGTCCCATCATCGCAAGCCTTAAGCATCTGGCATCTGGCGGACAAGGACTGGCACTTGCATTGTGGGGTTCTCTCACTGCCCGCACCAAGAGCACTTATCAAATTTGGGCATGGCTCCTCTTGCGCCCAGGGGCTTTACTGGAACCGTCACTATACTGAAGCGGCTCTAGTTGAATAAGGTGTTTCCAAAACAAGGATCTGGGCCAAGTGTGGCTCCCTGTCGGAATCCCTTTCAATATTATCCAAGGAGGTCCACAGCCCTTAGTTGGCCGAAGCTTCATCCAACCCTCAAGCTGTCAAGATCCTACACGAATCTTGCCCCGAGCGGACAAAGCTCCCTTTTGGAACCAGAATAACAAGGGACAGCGACAGGCCACCGAACAGACAGATCGGAAGGACATCAAAAGTGACCATCGAACAACGGGTCATCAAAAAACGACAAATTAACATCAACAAGACATCAAAGGGACATAGGATCTGCTAAACTGCCTTTGAACTGCTTAAATGCTTCGTACATTGGGGTTGTCGTTAGGGTTTGGGCGCCGCCCCAACGCTCGTGTCCCCGGAGACCCTTTCAACCACCGGAGGCAAATTTGGTGGTCTGAAGGCGCACCTTCTCGCTACTCTGATTTTGGTCACCCCTGGCAAAGCAGTCACATCAGTCAACCTCACCGGCAGCCTACTTGACAGAAGGACCGAAACAGCAACCCCCAAGCACACACCCCCATCCCACCCCCTCCACAGGTCCGCAGGGCGCCCCCGCCCAACTCGCCGCCAGGCGTGCCCAGCACAGGCTCATCAATGCGGTCGTCCAGGCAGGCCAGCGAAGCGTTGGCCTTCCGCGCCACGTTTGAGGCAAAAATGCCACCCGTTCCATTCGATTCTCGAAT